CATGCTAGGCCCCATCAGAACCGGACCGCATTGACATGACGACGGTCGTTTCGGCAACGTGCCTCGATCACGAAATATTTTGTAATCGCCTGTAATAGCCTACAAGTCAGGCATTTACGGCAAGCTCGCTATGTTGCCGAGGTGGAATCACGCACAAGGGCAGTATCGTCTCACCAACGAAACAAGCACACTTGCAAAGACCATGCCATACACATCATATTCTACATTACAGCTCTTACTTCCAGGGCACCAGCTGCAAGCTGCAGGCAAAGGGTGATTGCGAACAGTCGTGGAAGAGTCCTGATGCATAAGCTGATCATGGTCCACATGAAAGTAAGATTTACGATGCGCTGTTGCAAAGGCGCAGCCAACACCGGAGGGTGTGATGAGGCTTTACCTCCATACCCCCGCGGTCAGAACCGGGCGCAGGGTTTGTTCGCCACGATGTCATTGTTTTTTACTACGCAACCTGGCAGCGATGAAGGGTATGTTGGGTCTGCATCTCGTTGACTAACATGGACAGTGGCATGTGTCCCGGTGTAGATGACCAATAAAATTGACACACCCTTAAAACCCAATAGCTGAGACGTGTTGTGCCCGGCAGCACAACTTTAGTTGAGGACTCAGCGGATAGCCGAATGCATATGTACCGCACACTGCTGAGGCAATTGTTTTCTGGGCCGGGCGACTCAACATTAATAGCCCTTTGATGCGTTATGCACCAAAAGGTTATTAATCATGATATTAGCCATATTTAAATAACTATCAGCCTCTTTCCTGAATACCGAAACCACCCGCCCCTGAAATCTGACTGGACCTCTAACAGTTAGGAAAGGGCAATGGAGTAGTGCATTTACAAGAGCCTAGGTCTTGAGGGCATTTGAGGCTGACTAACTGAGAGAAAGGACCAGAGGATGGAAGAGAACGGCGTGATGGTTGGTAGATATCAGATTCGAATGGTGTAGCTCACGAGCGCGACGAGATGAAGCTGGAACTGCTGATCTTGCTAAGAGTGAACTGTAGGCGCATACAGCGGTCTTTTTTTACTCTTTTACTTTACTTTTTTACGACTTTTCTTTTCTTTAATTAAACTTTTAAGTTGAACTTTCCTGTATGGTAACGACTGCCTAAAAGTCAGTCTTCTTAAGAATTCAGTGAAACGCCTTCCCATTTATAGAGTGTGTCCTGTATTTGCATGCCGGTTTGAACTGCAATGGCCATCTCGAGGATCACTCGTTGTGGTTCACGGCCCTATCCTTCTTATAACCTAAGCTCCTCTAGTTTCTGAGGTGCGCGCCCGCGGAGATGCGTGAATTTTTTCGTCCAGATTATTCTAAGGTCACCCAAGCATCCATGGCGTCAGAATAACGCCATCCAAATCCTGCAAGTATATTGGCCATGCAGCGATCAAGGCCAAACAATATATTTGTCGAGTTGTTCATATTTGGCGTTCGTGAACATGATATCCAGTTATGATAGCCGTCAATCGTCTCTTAACACGCGCTCGGGTGGGGGGTTAATTTGACCCCCAAGGTTTTTCCAGAATGGTCCCCGAACGGCGCGGCGTAGCCGCGCCAAATTTGCATAGCTGCAGGCAATTACATAGCAAAGCGTTTGACATAAAAATTTAGATGTACCTTGTAAGGTTGCTGACCTATGGCAGGTCAAAGTCAGGCCATGATTTCAGCGAAGGCAATTTCTAGGGAGTCGTCCAATCTGATACAATAACGTAGTGTTTGACGAAGCCATACATGTCTGAGATACTTTCTTAGGCACCACAAGGATTGAATGAGCAAACGACGTTGACCTAAGGTCAAGTATGAAGGTCAGATCAAGGTCAAAGCCAACCTGATTTATTATGCTAGGACTTGCGGTATGGGATAGCTTATGGTGCTCATTTTAAGTTTGTTGACAGCAGGAACCATTATACATTTTCCGTTGACTTCTTAGAGGTCAGGGAGGTCATTGACCTAAGGTGACCTGGGTAGACATTTTGTTTAAAGAACATCTGCTGCTAGAGTAATCTTTGTCACTCATTTAATGTAAAACTCAGGGTAGTCTTGCATGATTTTGGTCGCCATGACCTTCAAAAGGTCAAACAAGGTCACTGACCTCAATGTGATTATGACCTTTTGCTCAGAGACAGTTGCCTGGGCTCTGGGGACACTTAAGAGACCAACCTGTAATTTGACCTTACTTCACCTTATTTGACCTGAAGGTCATGACTTGGAAAGCACGAACTTTGCCTTAAGTTATTTCACGTATAGGTTAAGACACCCCCGAAATTTGGTGTCTCTAGCTTTCTTAGTTCCCGAGATCTCAAATTGTGGGGGGGGGTCAAATTGATCCCTCCACCCGAGCAAGGGCATCTAGCCGGCCATCCGGGCGCGTGTTGATCAATGTTTGCAAGGTACGATAGCGTAATACAAAAAACGACGTGTTGAGAGGCATATTTACTAAAAAGGGGTATTGTGTTGTCTAGAACAGTCTCCTTCACCTAAAAATATGCTAATAGAAGTGAGCTTATTTCATCATGTCTGATGCCTGCTTTGGTATCTTAAAATGCGGAGCATTTCCCTTCAGCACTCCGTGGATTTACAAGACGATAATATACAGTAAATGGAGACCCACCGGCGCCCCTGTCACGCTCCCGACACGGTAACACTAAGCGCATCTTCAAACAGATTATGATGCTGTAATAGCGATATATTTGTTCTGGCGTTCAGTAAAGAAGAGGAAAATGCCGCAAACACAGATCCAGCAAATCAGAATAATGCATAAAAGGTGAGACTTCATGCTAGGCGTAGCCAAACGCCAGTCGACATGTAGGACGCGTCCCGCAGGCAGTGCCTGTCTCGCCGGTGCAAGCGTAATCGCTGGTGCAAATCCCAGTCCAGTCAAGAGCATGTGCTATTATGCATGTAAGGATGCTTAGGTTTAGGTGACGATTAACTTGACAAGGTCGCCGGCACTTTCTTAGCTCCGTCGGACTATGGGCCTCTCACCAAACCCATTCGAAAGCTAAAGATGTCGGCGATACAAAATGAAACATGAGACTAAGCATATACCCGGGGCCATCATACACAGTCAAAGGACTACGGTTATACATAAAGCACTGAAGAAGCCACAAATTGCTGGTCTGGTTTCACGAATCTTTTGATGGCATATGCCATACGTGAACAAACCACGCACTTCCCCATACAGCTCAATGGATATACAGAGTATGCCAGGTTGGAAAGCATGTACTGCAGAGTTCGCCGCTTGCATTGCTTGACCCTGTTAAGCCGCTGTTTGGCGTTTGCGTTCAGCTCTGCTACGTCACAACCACCACCACCTACTCGTCTTCTAATCTAATCCAACCTCCAACGCAGCCACACTCCCTAAAAGACATTGCGCAAGTGGGTAAGCAAGTCTACCTTTACCAGCTAGAAATATAACAGACACGTCCGTATTCCCGAGTGGTTGCCAACACCGCTTATCTGCGGAAGCATGTCCAAGGCGCTGGTCGTGTACTATTTAGAACCGTGGGCTCCAAGTCGAGGTCCGATAGATTTTGTTCACGCATCTAATTTGCTGTCGTTCAATGACCTTGTTGCTTATTCAGTCAATATGATCCGTGGTAAATGCCACTGTTAGTTTGCCGATTAATGCTGAATACCCTTTCATACCCTTCCACTCTGAAGTGTCATATGTCTCTAACATCCCGAATAACCATGTAGGGTTCAGGGTCATTACATATAGGTCCGTCCAGTAGCGGAGCATGCCGAGACGTGTAACATGTTTTGTCACCGCCTATTGATGAGAACATGATGGGTGGCGTATTGATCAGCCCAGGGTTGTCATCAGTCAGCAGCGCCTCTCTCACCTGTCAGCTTCCGCAGGCACCAAGCGGTCTCCTACCGCCTGGATATGGGCTATTCCGCGCAGTAGCGATGTGCTGCGACACAGGCTGAGGCCCCAGCGGAGTGTATATGGGTGTGGGTGTGGGGGGGGGGGGGCAGGATCCGATGTACTGTGACGAGAAGGGCACCAAATCTGAGTGCAACAGAACCCAATCGTGATATTCAGTTTAATGCTTCACAAAGGTGGTTCTGATGTTCTCGGGCATCGGTTCAGGTGGAAGGCTACGACATCGGAATGGGACGACGATGAAATGATGATGAAGGCCACGACATCGGAATTTCCGACAGTTTCAGTCTCCGACAGTACAGTTAGCCTGCCTTCTCGCCGGCCTTACAATGCATCCTAGCTGTTAGCTTCGCCAGCGCGGCTCTTTGGTGGATTACGTGCTATAATGGAGCGCACATTGCGCTGAGTCCGTCCTTGGCCGCCAGTGTCGCGTGGCTTACGCGCCTTCGCTGTATCATTAATGAGCGCTTCCGATGAGAATGGCACAGCTGTCAACTGCCATGGCCCCCTTCCATCCCCCCCCCCCCCCATCTTGTGCGACAGCCTGTCGAACTTGACAGAAATTCATTACATGGTTGGACACCAGCTTATGAAAAATTTAAAATTGCGGGGTTCAACAAAAATAATGAAATATCGTGTCAATTTGCTCTAAAGGAATAATTAACTAGGCCGCATCCTGGGACAAAACAGCGTTTGAGCTATCCTACGCTGACAAACATGCATCAGAGGCATCGAACGGAATTTGCGCAAATATACCCCTGGCTGCAGGAATACATTTCGGTAATTGCGCTGAATTACGAGAGCTCCCCAGCTTGATCGGTAATTCAATACAATTCCAAAATGTGGTGGCATCTGTCGAAAAAGTTGGCCCTTGAACTTCAAATAGTAATTGTACACACGGGCCACATCGGGTATGACGGCGCACTGCATCGCGTGTCAAGGCGAATACCAGTTTAATCAGGTCCTGTTATCGTGATCACCTACCAAGATTATCACCCACCAAGATAAAATGCAGAAGTCTCACCCATATGATGCGTTACAAGACAGTAAGGTGTTGTAATCATTCATAAATCACTCACACTTTTTGTTGCGACGCTGGGAAGTTCGTTGATTTGTGGGGAATATATATGTATGTATATATATATGTATATATATATATATATATATATATATATATATATATATATTGAACCGATGCCAATTTTTCGCCCGTCTAATAGTGCCGGGTTGCACTGAAGGCCGCTGTTCAAGAGACTGGTATGGCCCGTTTCCCGGTCAATTTATGTTGGACCTGGAGGGGGGTGCGCATGGGATGGGCTTGACACCCTGTACATGGCACATTTTGCCTACAATGTACGGCTTTGCACGGGTGATCTGCTTATTTGGCGTTAATTCTCAAACTCGTCTAAACCCGACGCATCCAGCCGGCGTCAAAATCACATGACGCATCGGATTGACAAACCTTGGGTGGTGCGATAGGAACATATGCAGTAAGCTTGGCTCACCATGTGGTCCACATCCACAGGTAACCGTGCAAGCCACTCACAATGATTTAAGCACATGCTCATGTGGTGGGGGATGGGCAATTTTACACCCCCGAAGGTTTTTACGAAATAATTTGCAAACGGTGCAGCGTAGTTGCGTCGAACTTTGCGCAACCGTAGGCAAAAGCATAGCAGATATTTTTGTGTGAAAATTAGGTGTAGCTCACAGTCAGGCCGCGGCTGTCAGCAAATGTAATTTCTAGAGGGAATCGTTCAATCTGATGTGCCAGTGGAGTGTCAGAGGAAGCCATACATCTCTGAGGTAGTTTCATAGGTAAAACAACAATTGAATTTAGGATTATTTAAAATTCAGTTGACCGAGGATCAGGTACGAAGGTCAGACATAGGTCAATACCAGTGACTTTGGTTTGAGCTGGGCGTAATTGATGGAGCCAGTGATGCTGCACGGGTCATCCAAAGGCAAAGGCAAGATCATATTGGCCAATGACGCCACGCTACCCTTTGTAAGTGACTAGTCGCATGAATTGGCTTGCATCAAGACTTTTCTGCAGACAACAGTGCTGCGCAGTTTGCAAAAGTGTGTTTTGAGCTCGTTAGAACCGACTTAACAAGTCAAACGTGAATATGAAGAAAATTGCCCTCGCGGAAAGATGTAGATGGCGCAGGCTGTTGCAGTCCGTTCTATAGTTTCTGCTCCAGCAGGTCTGGTGAAGAATCGGCACAGGACGAACCAGCGACATCGCTTCCATCTTCCCCGCCAGGGTGGCGAAAACGTCGAGACGTACGTGCGTTAGGCTAAGTTAGGGACATTGCCGTGCTGGTAGTAGAATCGGTACTTCAATTTACCGAATTATTCCCATCATATAACAAGCGCGAACGGCAATGGAATTAATAAGCACATCCAGCATCCAGTACCTCCAGCACGTCATGCTGTCCACTCCCTTGCGGCAGCTACACCCTGAGAACCGAGTCGCACTTACCAAATTAACCAATTATCATCAACAAACAAAACATGTTACTCTAGGCACCATTTACTTGAGTCGTGGCCTTGCACAGGAATGACAATAAAAACAGTTTGTATTATGTAACAAAGAATTGGGGCAAATATCATTTGCATGTTGTTTCATTTCTTGTTGGGAACATTGTAAAATTGCTTTAAATATCTGGGTGACTGCCATTCTCGGCTTCACCGTCCCGGGAGAGACACGTATGACGACAGCGGTGTTCGGTGTAGGTCCACGTTTACTGATGGCAAACGTGGGCTTCTGGATGCGTTCCTGCCCTGGGTTTGCTCGATATACGCCACTGATGATAGGCAATATTCCGTACCTTAGTTAATACAAAGCAAAAGAAGCACCGTTTTTCTTTCGCAGCAACTAACAAGCACTTGCACTCTCCACTCTCCAGCGACGTAGTCGTGGGTCGCACGAGTCGCATTCTACGACTCTGTGAATTCGTAACGAGTGTAACTAAAATACCCTGTTTTGCTTCCGGTGCAGAATCATCATTCTGGAAACGTGTTTACGCTGTGTTATTATTCCAAATCACTCTAGTTGTCCTAAAAGATCAATTTTCTTACCAAATCATACGTAGTCTACCATGGTAACATTTGGCGTCGCTATTGCCCGTCCATGGGACCGCACCAATCTGTGTAACTAACGTCCATGGGACCGCACCAATCTTCGTAACGTTTATGGGACCGCACCAATCTGTGCAACACCCATGGGACCGCACCAGTCTGTGTAACTCCCTATATCATCAACTGAACTGACTTGGTATACCGGAACTGTGGCCTAAAATTACCATCACGTGGTCAAAACTAGGGTCACGTGAATTTGAGAAGGCATTGATATATATATATATATATATATATATATATATGTCAGCAAAAAAATTCAACGCGCCCTAGGCGAAACAAGTAAGTACAAACAGCATAACTTGAGAACCTATATGTCGCACCCAATAAGCGAAACCAAGCGTTCGCAGTAACGAGAACTTTACGAACGTGCTTTTTATTTTTGCTTTCACATTTTGACGCACGCTTGATAAGCTGTTGTACGGTGGACAACATCTCAACTTGCCAACGATGGTGCACTTAAAAATAGGGTGGTAACTTAGCGTGTGTGTCACTTACTGAAAGGGATACCTAACTCATCTATATGCAAGAATGTGAGAGTGTGCCACGTTTGGTGATGTGTGTCCGATGGGCTCGTGATAACAATGTGGATCATAACTCATCCACTTTCTCAAAAACAACACTCCCATGCGTCGCTGACGGGTTATATATGGGATGGTGAGAATGACACGCTTTGTGAAACTTGCGTTCTTGTAGGTCTGTAATTTGTCAAAGCCAGCTGTGCAGTAGAGGGCTGAGCCATGTCAATTTTCCGTTTTCACATGCAGTCTAACTTATCCACGGTTTTTATTTACTTCTCTTTAGCAAATGGAGGTCTATTTCAAAGTTGGGATCTGGAGGTATCGAGCTGAATGCGAAGCTACACCCCCGGGTACCTGATATACTAAATGTAACCCAATTGCGAGAAACTGGCTGTGGCACAGTCACTGGCCTTTCGGCTGGCTGATTCCCATTAGCAAATCTACTTCAGCCGTTGTTCGCAACTGTTTGGATTAGACGCAGGCATCACACAAAACGAAATTGTTGATAGACTTCTCACACCGAAAACAAGTTTTGTTGGCTGTCTTCGCAAATGGTACTTTAAAAACACGGTTTTCACGCCAGCACCATGATAGTCGTACGGTTCTGAATAATGCGAGGATGTATGGCAGGTTCGCTTCTCGATTCGGAGTGCACACTCAAAACCAGAAACGAACATAGCCATAGCTCTACAAGTCTCCGGGTTTGCATGACGCGACCCTTGCGACCTAAGCCACAAAACTGGTCTCCACATGACCTTGAGACTGTGCTGTCAGCACG